AGTCTGCCAAATCTGGTATATGGCGGCTATATGATATAGCGCCTTGAACCGAACAAAATTTGGTAGGCCAACTCAAATATTGCATATCTAAACCGAAACTCGGGCTGATATTGTCAACTTTAGCCTTTATGTCAGAACAATACATTTTTTATCCACACTGCAATGTGCGCTTCGTGGCCGATCTTCGGTTCGATAGGATCCATTTTCGGTTCTTTTGTAATGTTTTTTCAGTTATTTTTACCTATTTTTTCGGTTATTTTGAGACCATTTTCCGGTTCTTCTAGAACCGTTTTACGGATCTTTTGAAATCGAGTTTCGATTCCTTTGGAACCGTTTTTCGTGTCTTTTGGAATCGAGTTTCGATTCTTCCGTTTTTTAGTTCTTTTAAAATCGAGTTTCGGTTTTTCCGGAACCGCTTTATGGTCCTTTTGGAATCGAGTTTCGGTTCCGTTAAAACTGTTTTTCGGTTTTTGTAAGAACCGGACCGGTCGGTTCGCTAAAGGAGCCGGACTGGTCGGTTCGCTAAAGTAACCGGTTCTCCGGTTCCGGTTCCTCCGTTATCCCCATCACTAATGCTTAGAGACTACTCCCACTGACGGATAGTGGTAAAGGGTGCGAGCGAATATTAGCACCAGGCCCTGATTGCGAATGAAGAGCGCGATCTGTAAAGCAGTGTTACCACTACAGTCACCTTTGCGATGAGCGGAATATTTGTAGGTGTAAGTGACCAAGCGCAAAAAACAGTATCTCGCCAGACTAAACGAAACGGGCTGAAAATCACTACAGAATCTACTAATGCAGTGCTTCTGTAATAAGCTACGTCGGATTTGTAACTGAGGCTATTTATTGCAAAAAAAATGCATTAAAGAATTAATAATTAAGTAAATTTATAAACTCTTAAAACAGCTTTCACACACAATGGGCCGAGTCGCTGCTTTTGCTCAATCAGACTAATTTTCAGGCCAAATAACATATGCACTTACATTTTGATATTGTGTACACATACATAGTATCTATGGGAGTTAATACATATCGCATGTTTAGTAATAAAGATAATTATTTCAAAATTGATATTTTGTGTGAAAACCCAATCATACAATTCATATAGTTGACATACAAAAAGACTGATGGAAAGACGCATATCCTCGTCATTTTTGGCAAGTTTTGTTATCTTCTTAGACTGAACAAATACTTCTTAACAAGCCTAGTTGTATTAAGATATCTCCAAAAACGTAAATTTTTAAGTACTTCTCTATATTATTAAACAAAAAAGATTATTTTTTTTTTATGTATAAATGTGCATGTTCGTTTGAGTGTATGCAACTGCAAAGCTATCAGTCGTAGTTACAATTATTGCTTTAATTGCTTTGACACGTCACTGTGAAAATAGGTATGAAAAATTAATGCATAAAAATTCAATTGAATATAAATCAAAAAAAAAAATTGTAATAATGCAAATTAAAAAGCCGCAATATTAAAAAAAAATTAATAAAAAAACGTACATGAAATTTCAATGTTAATGACTTAATTGTGTTTTTTTTTTGTGGCTAGTGCAACGTGAGTATTGGAGAGATATGATATCTTCTAATAAATTGCTAGGAAATTTGTACTTTATTCATTTAAATACTAATTTAATTATATTATTGAAGAAGCGTTATTTAATAGATTTGAACATTGTTTTAGCAAGTATAATGCATACTGCTGGTTGTATTGTGGCCATAATGGGAATTTATGTGACACTGAATTCCTACCGAAGCAAGCTTCCGTAGTAAGTTATATTATCTACATATGTAAGTATAGAGATTTTTTTCTTTGTTTGTATGGGGTTTTTTTTTTGTAGCGGTACGTCGGTCTACAAATATTGAAACATTGGAACAATAATTGTGAAAAGCTGGTGAGGCGACCAATATAATCTCGCCTAAACTTCTATCTGCAAGGAAAGAGGATTAGAAGCTCATTCGTTAGAAATCATAAAAGGACCAGTTCGTAGGGGAAATACTAAAGATTAACTATTCCTAACTTGATGTAGGTGACTTTGCGGTTTTCAAACGCGATGGTAATCAATAATACAGGGTTATTAAAGTATGACGTTTTATCAGTATTTGTCACCAGTTATAAAGAAAGGAAAGGAAGCAAACACTGGCTGGAAAGCCTTAGATAGAAGGTGGCTCGTCAACCTTATCAGGAGAAGAATTAGAAAATCAAAGGATAGAAAATCTGATAGAAGATTCCCATGGAGACCACGTTAGGAAATGTTGGGTTATTGTGGCGGACCCCACAAGGGGGGACTCATTTAGACACTACTTAGATTGTCCATTGTGTTACCACTTTACACAAATTCTTTGGACGGCAACAAAGTTCCGGAGAGCTTTACGGGAGTGTTGATGAAATGCGCACCGAGGTGCTTAAACCTTAGTCTAGCGAATGCCGGCCAGCTGTGAAGGAAGTGCTGAGATGACTCCGACTCGTCTTCCAAACAGCTGCGGCACTAGGGATCCGTGTGGATATTAAGTGGCAACGCGTGGAACCTGCCAGAATCGAGAGTTCTAGCTTAGCCAGCTGAAAAAGCTCCCTAGACCGCCTGCTGTCAACAACTGTCCTAAAGGACCTAGCAACTTTGCATGTCAAGGTTTTCGGCCAGAGCTCGCTGAGGCGACTGTGAGCCCATCTCTACAGGTAGCAGGTTGGGAACGGAACTCCGATGCCCTCCTTGTACGAGGTGATGGTCACGAAGGTGTCCTGCCTAGCAAATTCATCATCCTTTCAATTTCCAATGATGCCAGCTTGATTTGGAAGTATTCCGAGGCAGTTTAGAGAGAGGTCAGACATTCCTCGACCAATTTCGATCATACCCAACGCTCTAATTGCTGCTAGGCTATCAGAGTACATATTTACCCTCCTAGTCGGCAAAATATGGATGCGTAGCCAATGGGCTGCCTCTTTCACAACGGCAACCTCTGCCTGGAAAGCGCTGAAGAGATCCTGACAGCAGAAACCTCCTCCATCTCTTCCGTCCAGCCGTGATCCGTCCGTAAATATGTTCTCCCATTCGCCCCTTTGAGGGATGTGTGTGGAGCAGGATCCATTTGGGGCCAGTCTCAGAACACTCCGATCCAGTTATTCCAGTAGAAGTCTAAGATTTTGAGAGCCTAGAGCTTTTGATCCTAATGGCTGGGCGAACCGCAGCTACTTTGCCCGCATTGCCAACAGGTACTTACGACTCTGAGCATAGCGTTCAGCGCTAGAATCGAAGTAGTCCGGAGCGCTCTGCTAGGTCAATGGAGGGCCGCCCTTTGCAGGCGATCTAGCGGTCCAATGGACAATGTCCCCATATAATATGATTGCCTTGATTATAGTTTTATATAGCCAGTCAAGTCTCGCCCTTGAATTCCAGCATCGTGGGGCCCGAGATGCTTTGACACCAGGATTTATTTCGTCTTTCCTTTGATTTTTTCAGTAACTGTTTGCAAATGTTGTTGTTTCTGGGAAATGTTGCAGTGTTTAGATACAAAATTAATAAAAAATTTTCCCAGTTCAGATTCTGGCTTATAAATAAACTTGATGAAAAAACGGTTTATTCGATTGTAAAAATCCGATTTACTCGGTATTCAAAAACCAATTGAAATCAGTTCTGAAAAACCGACTAATTCACCCTAATTGTTATCCACTGTCCATAAAGGCTCATTGTTTCGCGAAAGGGAAACTTTGCTAAGACCTACTCCTATAATAGCGTTAACTCATCCTCTGCCGTAGTTTGGGTCCGATACCCAGTTGGAAGGCAAGTTCACATCAAACCAACCAAGGCCGGTTGTACCCGCATTTGGGTGTTAAGCCACAGCCAGCACGAATACTCACCGAGGGGCCGTACCCAAGAGCGGGCCAGATAATATAGTATACTCTTGGGGCTCCTGTTCCCCATTATGCCAGAATTAAGTCTCTGGTCAGAGCACGTCGGCGAAACTACTGCCAGTTGAGCCTCCACTCCACTCGAGGACTGGCTTAAATTCCTTAAAAACCAATAGAACTCGCTGGTGAAAAACATCATGAAAAATATAAAGGCACATTCTTAAGGCGAATTTTCCAAGAACGACTTAGTTCTTTCCGCACTTATTGCTACCGTCAGGTATTAAAAACTACAAAAGCCGGCTTTTCCGAATTCTCGCACCTGCTTGGGGAACCACTCCGCATTGATGGGGCTTTGTTGATTACTGCAATTACGGAGATAAATATGCATACTCAAGTATGTACATAAGTACAGAAATGCGTCATATCGGTTTACATTTACATTTATGTATGTATATGTAAGTAAGTGGTTAAATACGCATGCAAGTCTGAAATAGTTGGACCACCTTGACACTCAAATTGCTACGTCATAAGCCGGTTGGCAAGGTGACGCTCAGCCACAAAAACTACATACGTAAACACTTTTGATTTGAGTGAAATAATTTGATACAAAACAAAAATCGAAGCTTCAATTGCTGATTTGAGTGTCAACAATAAAGTAAGCTATGCTCACAAGCAGTAATCTCAGCTCAGCTAATTGGCTAAGAATCCATTTCGAATGCACTCAAACCCGTTTTCGGTTTACTTACAAACGTATTCGCGTAGTGGCGATTTGCTAAAAGTTAGCTTTGCCGGTTTCGCAACTTGAGTGCTTCTCTGTTTTGATGCGGTTAAGTGAGTTCGTATGTATGTATGTATATATATTTAGTATGTATGTAGTATATATAAACAAATGTTTGCCAATTAATATGAGCATCTGACATTGAAGCATCTGTTACTTAGTTTCGCTTTTTTGTTATTTTTTTGATATTTGTAATATTTTTTTTATATTGTTTTTTTTTGCGCGCATTTGTCATAACAAATCACCGCCTATTGTTTTGCTAGATTTCTTTTTTTTTTATTATTTATATTTACTTTTTTTATTTAAATATTTCACTGCTGACCAGAGTTTATCTCAATGCAAAGCTTCGCTTGTTTTGTCAGTCACCGCGCAACGGTTTACGGTGAAGGTAGTCAAATCAAACAAATCGGCTGATAGTGCATAATGTGGCTATAGGCGTTTCGAAATTTATATATATATATAGATTTTTTTTTTGTAACATACATATGTCCCTGTGTGAATGCATGCAAATAAATATATTTAAAAATTGTGATTTTGTTAGGTCTTTGTGTGCATAAAATTTATTCTATTGTTCGGTCTGATATTTTGTGTTCAGTGAAATGAAACGCTTGATTTTGCTAGCCCTTTGCGTTACGCTGGTGAACTTGAGTGCATTGGTGCGTGCCGAGGGCCAAGGGTAAGTTAAACGAAAATATACAAATAAAAGCTATGATGTGACTATGGCACCTATGGCATAAACCATAAACGCTGTTTTAGAGAAAATGCAACTTTTTGAAAAGAACATTATTTTCTGTTATGCCGAATTTCCACTAGTCATTCAGATGGCAAAAAATCTATGCCATTTAAAAAAATGCCATGTGGAAACGAGTTTAATGGCAACTTTTCTTAATGTAATGGCACAGATATTTTTTAATGTCCAACTTTGTCATTACAAATTGTGGAAACCAGGCATTGTACTGTGGTTATGATTTTGTATACGAATGCATTTTTCTTTGGAAAAAGGGCTTTTACAGAAAATTTAAAAAATACGAAAAAAAATTCCAGAAAATTTTAAATTTCGCAAAATAATTATTACCACTTCAAAAACTCACAAACAATCCTATCTGGGTTCCGAGATGCAGTGGTATTCCGGGAAATAAGAAAGGGACTTGAGAAAGGGGAAAATTAAAACGGTTTAGATCGTAATACTTCTCCTGCGATTCCTGTCTTCAGAAGTTGAGAAGCTGACCAGAGCAGTTAGCAACAGCAGGTGGTCTAATCTACAGACCTGCGCTGCATCGCGCTCACTCTGGCTACGGCTCGATGTACGATGAACAAGGAGCTTTACTAAGGCTCTCACAGGAATACTTACGAGACACTGGGCCCCTGGCTACATGGCCGCCAGGTTCGGACCGCCGCTTAACGATTCCTGCATAAGCTGCAGAGACGAAGAAGAGATAGAATACGTCCAATACTTCCTTTGCTAGTGCCCCGCAGTCCGGAGAAAACACCGCAAACTTCTAGCGACCACTTCGTCGAGAGTTAAGACAGCTTGGTGAGAACTAAATTGGAGGGTATGCTAGGACATGCAGGGATAGGCATAGGAAAACCTTATTCTAGGCATTGCAATGAGCCTATGGCGCCTCCTAGTGAACTCGTTTTTAGAGCTGCCCACAAAACCTAACCAAACATAACTTATGGTTACATCCAAAACAAAACGGCAGCAGTAAATAGTTTTAAAACAGAGTTAGTATGGCGGAATTTTACTGCAAATCATTAATTTCTGCATATTTTTTGCTATCGAGGACTTAATTTAGATACTGTCCAGGCCCCCTTATTTCGATCGGAAAACTCTGGTTCTCTTCAGGAGACTTCCAATAACAATACCCAATTGTTTTTTTTTAACATTTTTTAATACTAAAGATTTTTTATTTATCACCCAATTACATTTGCTGGGGTTTTGGCGAACCTATAAAATATAGTTACAATGACATAATTATTAAATAAATAATTGGATACTACTATTGGGAATCTCATAGAGAGAAATGGAGTTTTTTTTATCGAAAAATATTTATATTCAAGAATTATATATAATTTCTACGAAAAGTTGTTTTTTTTTTCATATAAAAATGGGAAAACTTTGAGTGCTTTGAGCGACTTGTAATAATTTTTTGCTTTCAAAATAAAAAAAATAGGAGTATATTTTTTCAGAATAGAACAATCCTAGGGGGTGAGAGCATAAATATTCCGAGTTCACTTTTTCACATGCAGTTTTGGAGCACCCTAGTGGTCACTGTGAGTAGTCAGGATGGTTTGCAAGCTTATAGGCTTAAAGGCTATAACAAGACTTTTGGCAGCTTTCCTGGCATTTGGCCATACTCCCACGCTTTGGAAAACAAAGTTTAGTTAATCTTCATTCTCAAGCCGGCAAGGGTAGACTATGTGATAGCAAAATGCTTCAGGCCAATCAGTCCGATATCATTCGTGCTGAAGAGTCTGAAGCGCATGATCGAATAGTACATTAGATCAAAGGTTTTGGTGGTCAGTCCGCTTACTTAGTACTCACCAACATGCATAACAGAGTAGAAAATCCTATAAGTCGGCTATGCACGAACAGTGGATTAGTTATACAATGAAAATCTTTTCGGTGAGTTGTTAACGTCCATGTTAAGGCACAGATGATCCTAAATAACATTAAATAATGGCGAACTCTGCAGGGTCTTGTTGTCGTCCCCAGCCTTGTTGACGCTGGAACAAAAAATTATAAGGTCTCAACCTGCTGGTGCTTAGGTAACTGTAAATAGCCATCTAATGTAAAAAAAAAACTCACGTCTAAGTAAAGCTAAATACAGCGCTGGAAGTTTTCGGAACTTTTAGTAAGGCTTGGTGACTGAGATCGGCTATTGCGCTTATGGAATATATAACTTTAGTGAGATTGATGTTAAAGATTCCAGGTGCGCACTAAAAAGGTATGTAATGATCAGCAACTTTGTTAAGGACTTGTAGCACTCAAGCAAGCTAATTATCATATAATGAGCTAACAAATGCACGAAGGTTGCATGAGCAACATTCAAAATAATTCAAGATTGCAAATAATGACGTAAATAGCTATGGAATCGCCAACACTATTGTTAACTAATAAGCAAATTTACATTGGCAATCATTATTTACACAGGTTTGAAAAAAAAAAAACGCATAATTGCTAATTGTTGTAAATTTCACACTTTACTTTGCCATTTCCGAGAATAGCCATAGTTGAGGTAAACAATGTCATTAATAAATACATACATATGTATATACTTGTATATACAAAAATGGCGCATATCTATATATATACGTATACATATGCCTATAAGCATTTTTTTTCTCAATGATTTGTTATGTTAAAGCGTTGCTGAACTATTTTGGGTATTCCCGCACTAATCAGACAGAGATCAGCATAGTTAAAAGAATACATTTGAGTGGTTGAGAAAAACATAACTTATTACTATTGTTTAGTTATTAGTTTTTCTCCTTTTTATACATGTAGTATGGATATTTGTATAAGTGCGATGAAACAAATTTTTATTGCTAACTTAGTTTCAAAAATCAGTGTTTGAAGGTTTCACAAACAAAATCGCAAGTGACTTGCGTGACTTTCTCGCCAGTTGCCATAAAACTGTGTATAAATAAGAATTATTTTTTTAAATATTTTAATTTTTGCGCATACATATTAGCAGTTTTACTTGCTTCGAAGAAACTTTTACTTGCTTCGAAGAAATTTTTACTTTTATTTTCACTAAGCGACTCAGTTGAGCAAAAAATAACCAATCCGGGTTTTTTCACAACATCAGCAAACGAGTTTTAGCTTTCTGAATCAGCCGGCTAGCTAATGAATATTAATTAATTAACGGCACATTTTTTGTGAGCGTTTATTTATTTCTTTATGACACGTGCTTCTATTCTCACAGCTCATGTTTTCAATTATAGAGTATTAATAATGCTAATTTAGAAACAATTTAATTTTAATTTTACCAGCATTACAAACTTTTTTTTTTTTGATAAAAAAAAAAAAAACACTTTATATCAGGGACCGCAAATAACGATTATCCTTTGAAATTTCAACTCAAAAAATCACGCGGAAAGAGAAATGATACGTGCATAAGGAGTAAAACAATATATTTCTTATTACTCGGAGTACCTTCTGCGGCACTGGTTTTTATTTTTTAATTTTTACTTATAAAAATCAAGTTTAATCATTATATTTTGAGTTTTATTTTTTGCTCGGAAAATAATCGTTATGTTTTGAGTTTGCGCTTTTTTGCACATTTTCTTTAGAAATGTGGTTCTCTTTTTTTCTGCCCTCGTATCTGTATTTTCATTACCCACTCCACAGTAGCGTTAAAAAATCAATGCAGTCGTCCCGTGTCTATTCACGCATGCGCATGCGCATATGCAAAAATTAAGNCATGCGTGAATAGACACGGGACGACTGCATTGATTTTTTAACGCTACTGTGGAGTGGGTAATGAAAATACAGATACGAGGGCAGAAAAAAAGAGAACCACATTTCTAAAGAAAATGTGCAAAAAAGCGCAAACTCAAGAAATAACGATTATTTTCCGAGCAAAAAATAAAACTTAAAACGTAACCATTATTTTCCCAGCAAAAAATAAAACTTAAAACGTAACCATTATTTTCCGAGCAAAAAATAAAACTCAGTTAATAACGATTAAAGAGTGATTTTTATAATAAAACTTATAACCGTTAAGGTCCCTGCTTTATATAAAAATCGGTATAAATTCATTTTTGTTTGGAAGGCTACTTGAGCTGTAGTACTCGGTGATCTCAGTCCAAAAAGGCAAAATATATAACTAAGTAACAGCCGGGGTATGCGCCCAAAAGCGCAACCATCGACCTCAAACTTTGGCTGATTGCTGAAACTTGATAAAGAAGTAAAGTAAATTAGACATAAACTAGGGTAAAGATGCCTGCTTATAGATGTTAGACGTACCCTTAGGCGAAAGTTTTCTGCTGGACAGCTTTAGAGACTTACTAATGGCGGTTTCTTTTCTATTGAAAAATGTTGCCTTCTCAATTCCCCCTGCGTACATGTACAAAGAGGGCAATGAAACTGCAACATTTTTTGCAGTGTCAATGAAACAAAGAGGCCTAGGAGCCAAGATATCTGTGCTCCTCGTTAATAAGTTTCCTGTTTAGTTCAATAGTCAATAGTCATATCTCCGCCTCGCATTTCTAATTGGCGTCAGTTTTCGCATAAGAGAAACGACTGGGGTGCTTTGTTGGACTCGGCCAGAATTGCTTACGCGGTTACAGTGTCAATCATGCAGAAGGAGAATCCCGTAACCGTATACTGTAAAATTATATCGAATATCACCGTATCCAACCGAGCCCTAACCGCAACGTAAACGGTTGCGAATTTTTTTTTTTTCAAAATTTTATTTTGATGCAGAAATGCATCTAGATGCTCCAGGAATATTTCCGTATCAAAAAGAAAATTAAAAAAAAAATATATGTCGCTTACATCTGTTTGACGATTGGGTCTCGAAATAAACTCTTGCTGTACATAGTTTAACAAACTAACTAAGAACCAAATTGACATTTTGTGGAAAATCAAGTTTGTTATGGGCGTTATTGAATAAGAAACGATGATGAACTTTTGAAAAAAGACAAATTCTCATTTAGCGTACATAAAGCATCACTACGATGTTCTGTTGTAGGGGCCGAGTATTCCAATGACGGCATCCTCTCTTCTGAATTTGTCGAGAGGGAGAAAAAGAAGATACATTTACCATTTTTTAGGTCGATCGTATGTGTCTCGTTTTAACACAAGTTTGGCAGAGGCAACGAAAGCGGAACTAATCGACCTATCGTTTTCGAAATGAAAAACTGCAGGCACTACAATAAGACTAATGTGCCCCCTCTTCGTCCTTATAGAGCGCTTCGTTGGCGCTAACATGGTTTATAGCTTTTTTGTCGGCAAATAAATTTGTGCTCGCCTGCATAACTGCGTCAAAGTCTAGGTTCGCTATCAATAACTGGACTGCACTCTTATTATCTATCACAACTTTTGGCATTGGAATCTCAAAAATCAGGCGCTTCAATCCATATATTCAGGCAACCAAAAAATTTAAATCATACATTTTAAATGATGGCGAACTTTTAATTAAACCTTCATATGCAAAACAAAGCTCTCTACAAAATTATTGCAACTGATAAATCTTATCTACATCTGAAAAGGAAAATCATATGAAAACATTAGTTTATTAAGCTACAACGAGGGGAAGAAACCATTTTTTTCTTATAATGAATTGCAACTAAGTGAAGCATATCCCATGCATTATTTTAAAACACTGCATTCATTTAACCTACGGAAAGGTTATAAATACGAGTGTATCAATCTATTTCGAAAAAACGCCAACAATAGAAATTGAAATGTACCATATACATATCTCCTACAAGAATCAGCATGCATGCAATATTTTGCAATTCTTATCTCGCTGTATTCCATTTTTTTCAATTTCTTATACGTTCATTGCAGTCGTTATTCCATTGTTGGTCCCGGTACTTTGCACCCAGACAACAAATACACCATTGGTGCAGTTGTTTATCAGAATGAAGAGCCAGTCACATTGAAGGTTGGCTTAGAGGGACCTAATTTCGAAAAATTCGAGACAATTGAACTCCAGCCGGATGAGTCAAGATTAGTGGAATTCGATGTACCAGCATTAGAAGATGGCAAATATAATCTCACGGCTGAGGGGGTATCGGGATTAATTTTCAAAAACACAACAAGACTTAATTTCGAGAAATTTCATGCAATCACAAAAATTCAGACTGATAAGGGTAAATATAAGCCCGGAGACAAGGTAAATTTCCGTGTACTTTTCTTAGACGAGAATTTAAAACCAGCTAAAGCGGAGAAGGATGCAGTTATATGGTTTGAGGTGAGTCTGAGCAAATTGCGTGTGAAAAGAATTATAAACAAACAATTTCAATTTCCTTGAAACCAAATTGGAGAATGAGTTCTATGTATGCAGAGCAAAATTTTTTTGTTGGGCGATTGCACTAGAGAACTGAATTATCTATTGTTTGATTTATTACCCCTACAGGATGGTAAACGTAACATCGTAAAAGAGTGCAAAAATATCGAACTTAAAAATGGCGTATTTACGGGTGAATTTCAAATATCCGAGTTCGCAGTGCGTGGCTTTTGGCGTTTAATTGTCAAAAATGGTCGGCCTTACAACGAAGAGGTCTATTTCGAAGTTGACAAATATGTTCTACCGAAATACGAGATAAAACTCGATGCTACGGATGCTGTGTCCGTGCGTGATGGCGATGTTAATATCGTAGTGAGAGCAAAGTATGTACTCTCCCTAAAAAGTCCTTTAATTTACTCTTTTACTTAAGACATCCTTTATTTTAGTTATACTTTTGGCAAGCCTGTGGAAGGTAAAGTTACCGCAGTACTCGGCTACAGCGAGTACTATTCGCAAACTGGTGATGAGAAGATAAAGAGCGCACCTACCCTCATTAAGAGTGCCGACATGGTCAATGGCAAGGCAAAACTGGTGATCAACGTAAAAGACTTCAAAGATCACTTGACAAGCGACCTGTACGCCACATCGTTGGTCATCACTTCAACGCTGGAAGAAGCCAACACTGGCGTGAAACTTAATGCAACCAAACATATAAGCGTATTTCCGTACCGTTATAGTATATCTTGTGTAAGCTATGACAGCTGTTACACATATCATGCAGATAAGGAGTCGGAAGTGTTGATTCAAGTGAATTTGGTCGACGGTACAGTCGTGACAGATACGAATCCAATTGAAATTACATTCCTGGAAAAATTATCAGAGAGAATGTTTTGGCGAAGGAAAGAAAATCAAGAAGAGACGACAACGCCAAAGCCTACAATTGAGGGGAAATCGTATACCTTCAATAGCCAATTGAATGGTACTGGTTTTGCTAAATTCACGGTTAAGTTGGCTCACCTGGATGAAATTGAAGACTATCAACATTATTATGAAGCAACTGTTAAGTATCTAGATGAGACACGTTCTGTTTCTAACACCTTCCAATACCGCGAGCCAAAGAATGTAGTACCACAGCCTGAAGAAAAGGAGCCAACGGAATGGTTTAAGCTGTCGGTCAATTATGCACCGAATACATACTTGTGAGTTTAAAGAAAGAATGGCGAGATGCTTAATGCTTAAATTCTTTTTTTTTTGCTAAGAATAAAAAAACTTAGTGACATCATAGAGTCCCTATGTATTTCTACGATTATGCGCTTGTTGTTTCATGAAACCTTTCCCTGAAATTAAGTTAAAATATACGAGTTGAATAAATGAAATGAATTTTATTCAGGCATCTTAGTTACTTTTCATGGAATGAGTTCCTGAAATGACAAACGCATAAAGATAGTATCTGTACCATTCATTGTAACTAATTTGTATTCCACTTCTGATTTTTGCGAATGCAGGTTTAATTCTTCGCAGATCATAACAATCACTGTAAACTCGAGCGAACCGCTGTCATACTTCATTTATGATGTAGTCGGTCGTGGTAATATTTTAGAGCATCAGCGTGTCGTTTTGCCTGAAAATACTAAAATTTACAACATCACACTTCCATACAAGTTCGCTTACGCACCCTATGCACGCATTTACGCTTATTACGTTGATAATGACGGTGAATTCCATTATGCTGAGTCATCGTTCTCTGCAGAGACAGAATTACAAAACAAGGTTAGAATTGTTTATTTGCTTACCCTTGAGTTTTTATTTTAAAAACTTTGCACTATAATCGTATCCTTTCCGCAACAGATTGAAGTAGCCGCACCCAGTGAAGTTAAACCAGGCGATATCGTGCCTCTACATATTCGTACTGCTCCACACTCATTTGTCGGTCTCGTAGCTATTGATCAGAGTGTACTGTTGCTTGCAGGTAATAACGCTATCACCTCCAATGATTTCCGTTGGCGTATCGGTAGCTATGATACAAGCACTCCATGGCTGGGGGGTAGCTCATATTATCCTGGCACAGGCACCGGTGTGGTTACGTTGACCAACGCCGACTACTTCTACAATTGGACTCAGCCGGAATATCGTAAGCGCAATAATGTCATAAAAACAAATAAATTTCTGAAGCTGTCTACTGTTGCAGAAAATGCTATGCCAGTAAATGCAGAAAGAGACAGAGTTTTTCACTCAGTTGGTGCTGGTGGTGGTAGTTTTAAAGCAGGTGTAGGTGTATATTCCACTACACCATCTCCTGCAGCCCCGCAACAAACAGCCAACATTCGAAAAGATTTCCGAGAGACTTGGCTATTTACGGATATAGAGGAGTAATTTTTTCGCCCAATATCTAACAAACGCATACTCAATTTCGATTTCTTTACACTTAGCACACAAACAGAAGAATTTGATTGGTCTGAGAAAATACCAGATACCATTACGTCATGGGTGCTCACAGCTTTTGCAGTAAATCCTGATAAGGGACTCGGTGTAATGAAAGACTCCATAAAGATTAAAACATTCCAGCCATTTTTCATGTCGCCACGCCTTCCTTACTCTGTAAAGCGAGGTGTGTAAGAATTTTCATATTACTTAATTCCGGTTTCCTTATAAAGACTTTACTTTACGATGCATTTCAGGCGAGGTCATCAACACTCAATTATTAGTATTTAACTACTTGGACAAGGCTTTAGACGTCGCTGTCACGCTCGACAACACTGACGGCGAATACGACTTTACCGACGTCTCCAACGAGATTATTAGCGAACCAAAGCGCGTAAAAAACATAAGAGTGCCCGCACAATCTTCCGCCGGCGTTTCCTTCATGATTCGTCCCAAAGTTATTGGCGACGTGCTACTAAAGTATACTGCCATATCACCGATTGCTGGCGATGCGCTACATAAGGCGCTAAAAGTTGTGCCTGAGGGTGTGACACAGTATGTAAATCGCGCATATTTTGTGAACTTGAAAGATGCCCTAGAATTTAAGCAAACTTTCGAACTGGTGCTACCGCAAGATGTCGTGCCTGACTCAGAGCACATAGAGGTGTCTGCTGTTGGCGATATTTTGGGTCCACTCTTGAATAATTTGGATCGCTTGGTGCGTCTGCCGACTGGCTGTGCAGAGCAAACGGCTTCCTCATTTGTGCCGAACTATGTGGTTTTGGAATATTTGAATGTAAGCTTAAACTGAGCTTGTATTTTATAATTTCTTTTTAATTGAACTTTCTTCCGCAGCACACGAACAAACTAACGCCAGCTTTACAGTCAAAAATTCAAAGCAACCTGCTATCCGGCTATCAAAACATTCTGAACTTCCGCTTAGACGATGGTTCTTTCAGTTCTTTTGGCAGGTCGAGAAACTCAGATCGGCCAGTTAATGGTTCCACCTGGCTGACCGCATACATCGTGCGTTCACTTAATCAGGCTAAATCCCAAGTGAAGGTCGATGAAAATGTACTGAAGGACGGTCTGAAATACTTGGTCAGCCAACAAGCAGAAAATGGCAGCTTCTTGGAAAGCAATGATTTCTTCTTTAGGTCCTATAGAGAGCCATTGACACTTACAGCCAGTGTTTTGCTCACTTTAGTAGAGGCGGAGGTAAGTAAGTCTCTTTCGTTATCAACCCAGTTAGTAAAATGTTTAGCGTTTTTAAATAGGAGCTCTCCAAGCCTTATGAAGCGGAAATCGAAAAGGGTTTCAAATACATTTTAGAGAATTTGGGTGCAGAAGAGAATCTGCATGTTAAGGCGATAACAGTTTATGCGCTAAATAAAATCGGTAGTCCAACAGCCGCCGCCCAACTCGAAGGGCTTAGTGCACTTGCTAAGACAGCTGATGATCGCAAATGGTGGTCAAATCAAAACGAAAGCAATTCGAAACTTTGGTGGCGCTGGAGTTCTAGTAGCGATGTAGAGATCACTTCCTATGTTTTACTAACGTTGTTCGAGAGTGGCAAGGCAACTGTGGACGATGTGCTGCCGGTTATACGCTGGTTGGTGGCGCAACGCAATAGCTATGGTGGCTTTGCATCCACACAAGACACAGTACTTGGACTCAAAGCGCTAATGAAATTTGCTGACCTTGCTGAATATGAAGCAGCTAGCATGGGATTAGATGTGACTGGAAAAGGCGAAAGAGAGAAGAGAGAAACCATTCATTTAACTGAGGACAATGGCTTGTTAACACAAACCATTGAGGTAAGGAAGGCTCTTAAATCATACAAAAGTTATGTAAGCTCACACATTTGCTACACAGTTGCCACAAAAAACTCTCTCGGTGGACCTGAGCGCCAAGGGTAAGGGCGCTGCTTTGGTACAAATTGCATACCAATACAATGTGTACGAGAAGGAAAAGCAGCCAGCCTTCAAAATCGACGCTGTTGTAAACAAAGAGGCACCTGCTTTCAAATTGGACGTGGATGTGTGCGTACAATACACCGGCGAATCAGAGGCTACCAATATGGCGCTGCTCGAGATCTCCTTACCTTCTGGTTATGTGGCTGATGAGGAGAGCTTCAAACAAATTGAAGCGGTGCAGCGTGTTAGGGTAGGTTTTCCAAGGCTAATAATAATTATGCTGACGTTAATTGCTTTTGACATTCCTTACAGCAAGTAGAAGGCAAACAGTCAAACACACTGATCGTCGTGTATTTTGAAAGCCTGAGTAAGGATAACATTGTATGTGTGCCGATCGAGGCGTTCAAGGTGTATCCGGTAGCGGACCAAAAACCCGCTACGCTTGTGCTATTTGATTACTACGACACGGCGCAAAAAGTCACTGAGTACTATACAGTTTCTTCGAATAAGTGCGATATCTGTGCTGATGATGAAGAGTGTAAGGCGTGTGCGGCTGCAGTGTAAATACATATTTTATTTGTAAAGTTGTGTGGATGAAATTTCCTAAAAACTGTTTTGTAAATAATTTCAAAAATACGATTATGGAGTACAATGGCAATGATAACGATTTTAGAAAAGGTTGAACAGATTTGTAAATTAAATAAAGTAGATTATAAACACAAGGAGTAGCTGACCACTTTACTCAATATCATAACAGAAATGAAGTGTCTCTAGTTTTAAAGTACTTTTCATTTGATTTAAGGTGATTATGGAAAGTTGGGGGAAAGGCATAGACAAAACGTAATGGTATTGGCATCGATAATGCCTTTCTAGATGAATTCATAACGCTTTAGCAATATGCCACAATCAGTTTGATTACGATGAGGCTCAGCCTGCAGGCAGTATCGTCCCAAACAGCCAGGCACCGTTGAACAGCGCAGCTAGAAAGCCGCTAGCTCACCCCATCTCGGGCAAGCGGAAGGACGATTATCGATTCCGATTTCCACTTCCGGTCAAGCGGAAGGACGTGGCTTCATCCGCTTCTAAAAGCATTTTGAGCTTCCCAAGAATTTTAGAAGATCCCTGATTTTTACGCATATAAAATCCTCCAAGTTATCGATAAATTTTCTACCTAGAGTCGAGAGTCCTCGCCTGAATAGAGTAGGGCGCTGATCCAAAATGTATGGAATCATTTCCTACTTTTCTCCGTCTTGACAACTTCTACATAAATCATGTAATCGTGCGGCTAGGCGATGGGCATTCTTACTTGTTACGCAGTGTCCTGTAATGACAGATACAAACAAACAGACTTTATGCTTATCTAAGCTCTGTAGTAAGCCCGCCCTTAGCTCCGGGCACAATTTCCTGGCAGTTTTGCCGGTGAACCCGTCATGTCATCTGTCGTTCCCTAATTTAGTAAGCCACTCGGAGATAAGTAGCAAGTTTGTAAAAATATTCCTTTTTCATCATTTATATCCTCAGTAGGAAGTTTTGCGCCAAGTCGCGCCTTATAATTCCCCTAAACGTCGCAGTGTCCTGGAACGCAAATCACTTTTATGTGAAATTTCTCATCCATTTCGTTGAAAGACATGCGGTATCTCACGGCTACCATTGAGATTGAGATTGGAGTGTCAACTTGATGCGCACCGGCGATTGCCATCATTTCCGCCTTAAAAACTCTAAAGTGGTCCAGATGGCAAAAGCTAAGACAGATTCAAAGGTGTTCGGAGTATTCACCTCCACCAACACTACACTCGATATCAGAGTTGATATTGAGCTCTCGAAATGAACGGACGTTCAGCTCAATCAGGGATTACCAACTATGTTGATTAAGATATTCAGAAAGACTGAATCATTTTCGCACCTTGGACCTTTGCCCATAAAGAAACTTTAATATCTTTAGTCTCATCGCCTCATTTTGTTGGCTTTTTGCAATAGCTTTGCTTCAATGGCATTACGCCTATTGTGTTCCGGTCTCTTCTTAGCCAAAAAGCTCGCATCAAATTTGTACGTTATCTCATTAAAGCTGAAACAAACCATTCTGAATACCCCTTGCAACTATTTTGGGACCATCCCATTTCTGTCCTGCGCCTGTGACAGCCTGATTACATCCGAGAACATCCATAGAGGCATCAGACTCAGGCGAAAAGAGCTTTACTAAGGATTACTGCTAACAATGTCGCGGAAAAAGGGTTTCCTAGTCATAGGAAGTTGGATATCCTCACGAAGTAGTGCCCTGAAAATGCATTACTGGGGCATACCATGCATCCGAGGTTAAGCTTTACAAAGAAGTTCAAAAGTGATCTCAGTAATAAGAAAAGCTGGGCAGGCATATCCCAGACATAAACCAAAACATGATTACCTGTGGTACACTGATGGTTCATTGACCGAAGAGGATACCGGGGAAGGTGTAGTTTTACCGAGCTAAGGTTTTACTAAGCTAAGGATGGCAAAATATGTGTCCATCTTCCAGGCTGAACATACTCCATAGATAGATGTGCGGACTTTAATATCAAGCGAAACTACCGGAATCAGAACATCTCTATCGTGACTGAGAACCGAGCGGCTACCAAGGCCCTCAGGTCTCCTCGGGTAACATCTAAACTGGTGATGGAGTACCTTGATAAGCTGAATAATCATGGCTTGATCAATCGAGTTCGGGTTTTCTGGCTTCCGGCACATACCGGTATTAAAGGATAACCTTTCGAGGAAAGTGCCCTGGTCCGGGCATACTATAAATCCGTGGAGGACGCAGTGATTTATCCCTAACAATAACAAATAATACGCAGTTCAAGTTATTTGTATTATTTTCCTTGGTACTGCTATTAAGCTGACATGTCTGAAGTATAGGGCAAATCTGAGGCATAGAGCACAAAACAGGACTTACGAGTCAGAGCTGGGAATAGCCGAGCAACTGACGAAACATAACTGGAACATTTTACTCTAACCGATGATCTTAATACCCACAAGGAATGAAAAGCGTTAATGCGAAAACGACTCGAACTTTGAATGGAGACTTGAAGTGTAGCATGATTATGAGCTTATTCTCACATCAACACTCAGCTAAATACTTAAACATTGATAACAAACATCTCGTAAGCACTTTGTTTATTTCGTAAATCACTCAATGCAGAAATTTCTTATCTTTTCATGAGCAACCTAGTTAGAAAGAAAGAGCGCCAAAGGTGTGGTAGAGAGCGTTCGAGCGAAACTTTATTACTTAATCGTTATCTGTGTTATCGAAACTCAATAGAAATTAATCAGTGAGTAATTTAATTCTTACTTACTCAACGACTTTTACTAAAGCTGCTTCGCGACTTGAGTCAAACTCAAAATTTATTTTAGCTACTCGAAAGCAAAGGTGTACGTTTTCTTCGGGTTGTTCCCCTTCTTTTAATAGTACATACATACATTGGTACTAAGCAGATGACACTGAATTCACTGGTGATTTTGCAATAGAGTTTAGTCGCAGCTGAGCAGTTGATTTGGTGCGTGTTGCAGTTGCGCGTTCAGCAAAGTTTAAGTTAAATTTCCTTGAAGTTCTTGAAGGAACAAAAGAGTGTTCGCTAAGTGACCGGTTTTGCGTTGATTTTTTGCTTTGTTTTGCATTGTTGGAATATCTGTCGCAATGCGGCATCGTTTTACGCTGTTATTATTAGCCATCTTGCAAACTGTCTTGACATCAAATGCCAATGGGTAAGTGTTATTACTCTTTGCATTTGGTTTTAGTTGGAAGTTTTAAATACATTTTACGAAAAATTACACTGAAGATGGCACATTTTAAATCCCTCTTCACATATTGAGGTACGGCTTTGAATGAATTTATGTACGTACTGCACAGAGTACAAAACGCTGGATAAATTATTAGTTAAAGAAAAAACCATTTTTTCTATAAAAAAATTAAAAATACTTATGACTAAAAATGCCAACTTTCTAATTTCGTATATATACAGTCAAACATAGATTTATATATATTTCAGTGTATTAAATGCATTTTTTTTTTTTTTTGAGCAAAATGAATTCATCTCTTGATCATATTCTTTGTCTTAAATTGCTTTTAAATACCAAAAAATATGGCACAATCATACCATTATCAGCCATTATCTATCGTGTAACTGCATGAATTTATAGATATATACATATGTACGTACGTTGTGTTATTTCTTCAATTCTATCTATCAATGCGTTGACCTGACTGTTGGCTTTTAATTTGCGCTTTTTTTTACTATACACTCTTGCTCTTCCCAAACCATCGCTCTCCTGCTACTCTCTGCCACAGCTTCTATACAGTTATCGCTCCCGGCACAATACATACAAATAGAAAATACAATGTCGCTGTTGCACTCCATCAAGCCGCTGAACCAGCTACGATAAAGCTTAGTCTCACAGGTCCACAGTATAATGATACAAAAAACGTAAAGGTTCAACCACACGAAGTGCAGCAGCTTGTCTTCGATGTACCCATTCTACGCGATGGCGACTTTAACATCACCGCAGAGGGTGTTGCTGGTATAATCTTCAAGAATTCGACTAAACTGAATCATAACGCCTTTCAGACGCACATAAAAATACAAACCGACAAAGGAAAGTATAAACCTGGCGATTTGATTAACTTTCGCGTGCTTTTCTTAGATGAAAATCTAAAGCCCAGCACTCCGTCGGCGAGCAGTGTTATGTGGTTTGAGGTATGAAGAAATTTTATTGAAAAAGTTATTCCTCATTTAAGTTAAATTCGTCTATTTTTTCGCTTGCCAGGATGGCAAACGCAATCGCATTAAGGAATACAAGAACTTCACTGTTACGAAAGGCGTTTACTCCGGTAAATTTCAAATTTCCGAATATCCCATAATGGGTAGATGGCGTCTGGCCGTGGAAAATGGTGGCTGGCGTAAATCAATCGTTAGCTTCGATGTAGAAAAATATGTGCTACCCAAATATAAGGTCAACGTTGATGCGACCTCACAGGTCTCGGTGAAGGACGGTGATATGCAAGTGGTGGTGCGAGCCAAGTAAGTACTTACATAAATATGTAACTATTTTCGGAACACTCGGAAGAGAGGAACCACTTTCATAACTTAGGTAAAAAAGAGTCGTTCGTAAGACAATTGCCAATTTTGGCAACTAATTATCTCGAGACCTCTTTACTACCTTTCGAAAGTCTCATTGAAACATTTGCTAATGAGGAGGTCTTAGCGTTATGCGTTTCCACTTTAAGCGGTAAATTTTCAAAAAAATAAATCAAATAAAAAATATATATATATTTTTTAAACTATCAAGAACTAATAAATAAAAAAATTAACTAAAATAAAATGAAGATATAGGAAAAATAAATAAAACGGTTTTAAAAATATAATGAAATTTAAGAAAAGAAAAATATTTTTTCTTAAAAAAAAAAAAAGAAAATATAAATCAAAAAAGAAGACAATAGTGCTTAAAAATTAAAAAAAAAATATTAGTTTTTAAAATTAAAAGAAAATTAAATTAAAAAACAACAAAACATTTTAAGTAAAGAACTATGATAATATCCTAAAAGCCAAATGAAATAAAATAATACATTTTTCTTTTTAAAACAATAAATCTGAAAATAAAAAGGAAACGAAATTATCAAAACAAAAACAAAATAAATTAGAAAAAGGAAAAAATAAATAGAATAAAAGATAAAATATTTTTCTTTTTTAAACAA